CTACTTTTGTCGTTTATTTGAACTTCTAAATAACTTTTATAATAATCATTTTTTGTTCATATATATAATATATATAATATATCAAAAATAAATATATATATAATAATATATATATAATTTATTATATTTTATATTATTATATTATATATAATATATTTTGTATTTATATATAATAATAATATATAATATAATATAATAATAATAATATAATATATTTATAATATATATAATATAATATATTTATAATATATATAATATAAACAAATATATGTTCGTTTAAATTATATATAAATACAAAATATATTATATATATTATAAATATATTATATAAATATAAAAAAAATATATATAATAATATATTTCGTTTTCTATATAATTTAAACGAACATTTGCTTAAACGATGCCTCTCGACGACCACACGTATCTTGTCATCGATAAATTCGAATCGAACTTCCTCCGCGCGCTTCGATTTCGCTCAGCGAAGGAATCTCGGCGCGCATTTACAATTACGGTTTCTGTTTTCACACGCCTAAATTTCCGGCGCCACGTGCACGGGAGAGCGACCGTGACCCAAAATCCGCAACGGAAAGCTCGTATTTTAATGAAGTTTATTTATTTAGAATTGTGTACGAGTGCAGGAAGGAACGAAATTCCGTTTCGCTCGGTGGACCGATAACCTCGTGCATACTTAAACGCAGCTTTCAAATCCGGAACGTAAACGCGACGCGCTCCGCTTTTGTTTGCCCTGTGCCGCCCAATATCTCTTCTTTCTTTGTGTTGCGAACTATAACAGAGCACGGGCGCGCGCTATCTTCTACGACGGTAGCATCCGCGGGACCAATATTCACATTGGATTGTCGGGGGAACGTCTTAAGCTTGTTCCTTATCCGCGGCCGCCGGAAATTCTACGCCGACAAGATGGCGGATGACGCGGCCATCGGAACCAAGCTACGGAACATTCGACGGCGGAACAAGTTTCGACGGCGGATTTTATGCGAATGTAACGCGAATCGTGCGATAATGTGCGTGATACGCAATGCGATGTGAATTTACTGTTATCGCTGTTACGGTAAATTCTCCCTAATTTGCCTTCTAATTTGCCTCGTTGTAAACAACAGTGAACAATTTGGGACGAGGAGATACGATTGTTCGAGCCTTGCATCGCGTTTTTATAATTGCTTGACAATCGGCGATTGTACAAATGAGCCGCGTGGCTCGAATGAATCGCATCTCCTTTTCCCAAATTATCAATTTTTGTTTATAAGCAGAAGGAATATTGGGAAGAATTTATTAAATTTTAATTAAATTTTAGTTAAATGACTGTAATTATTGGTCTACGGATTTCACGCATTTATGAGAAAAATTAATAGATTCTGTGCAACTCGGCCGAAACATTTACACAATTTTTAAAAAGATTGTACTATTAACAAAGCGTCGAAATTTTTAATCGGCGACTATACAAATGAGCTGCGAGGCTCGAATGAATCGCATCTCCTTTTCCCAAATTATACTAAATTATCAATTTTTGTTTACGAGCAGAAGGAATATTAAGAAGAATTTAACATGAAAATTGAGAGACGACAAACACAACCTAAATGACTGTAATTATTGGACTACGGATTTCACGCATTTACGAGAATAATGAATAGATTCTGTGCAACTCGACCGAAACATTTACACAATTTAAAAACATTGTACTATTACCAACTCGTCGAAATTGTTAATCGGCGAGTATAAAAATGAGCTGCGAGGCTCGAATGAATCGCATCTCTTTTTCCCAAATTATGCCAAATTATCAATTTTTATTCACAAGCAGAAGGATTATTAGGAAGAATTTAACATGAAAATTGAGAGACGACAAACACAACCTAAATGACTGTAATTATTGGACTACGGATTTCACGCATTTACGAGAATAATGAATAGATTCTGTGCAACTCGGCCGAAACATTGACACAATTTAAAAAGATTCTACTATCACCAACTCATGAAACTTGTTAAGAAAGACATAGACGTCCACGTAGTTCCCGCGTCTTGCAATAAACGTGGACAATTTTATTTCGCAGAAAAACCCTCGACCTAGTAATTATGCTTTGGTACCGTCGTCTCCCAAACAGTATAAAAAAACGGTAATGCTTAAATCCAAGCTGCGCGCGATATTAAAAATTCGTTTCCTCAACGTTTGGCCAGCGAACTGTTTCGAAATGAAACGATCTAGACACGCGGAACGTGCGTTTCCGCGTACACGAAACAAAAAAGCAGTACTTCCAACGAGTTGTTTCACCAAAAAAAAAAATATATAATAAGCGAAACGATTTACAAAACGCCCGGGGAAATCCGAACATCTCGGTTCCCGTAGCATCGAATGAATCGCTCTCGTCTAATTGACGCGGTCGTCGAGCCGGCTAGAGCGGCGGCGTTAATTATCATCGTTTCCAATTACGAGGGAGGGTGTGTCTCTCTGCGACGGAATGCGAAACGCCGCGGCGCGGCGGCAGCGGCTTAGCGTCGGCCGACGCGGCGGCACTCCGGCTTCCATTTAGAAAATTCTCGGAGTACCTGTTGAGAACGGAGAAGAAGCCTGACAATATTTAACGACCGGCAAACAGCCTTGCGCATTCGCGGCTCGACGAAGGCCCGGCCGCACGAAAGAGCATCGGTGGCCGCGGAACAGGCCGGCGTTTCCGCCGCGGAACGTCGGATTCGCGCAATTAGAATTTTAACCGGGCAACGAACGATCGATCGATACGCATAGTCAGGAATACGCGCGCAGTCGTTAATTATATTGGGACGCCATCTAACGGCAGGTGGAACGTTAACGCGTTTTCCTGAGAATCACGGGAAATTCGTCCGAGGCGAAATAAACCGTCGGCGGATCGCGACGCGGGGCGACGCGGCCAAATTCGATTGCCACCCTCCCCGCTCCTGCCCCCCTCAGATTATGCGACGAGTTTCGCGGAATTCGTACCGCACCGAGATTGAAGGGCGTATCGACGAGCACGCGTATATTCGGCTACGCCCGGGACGGTTCGATTTCCCGAGTACAACGTTCCGTCTTCCGTGTAATTGGGGTTCTTCGGATAATTCCGAACCCCCTCGCCCCCTCCCCGTATCGTCTAATTTCGCTTAATTCGCCGCGGTACGCTCGTAACAGCCTTCCTGTCTCTGTCTCTCTCTCTCTCTCTCTCTCTCTCGTCGCATGTCGGATAACGAGAATCCGCTGGCGATTTTCAGTGGCCGTTGAACAGTATCCATATTTCAGAAGTTAAACAATGTCACGGACGGACAAACAGTTGCCAGCACGAAATTAATTTCAGTTACCAGGCGGTGGTTGTCTGTATCGCGCGCGGACGTTTCGACGTGACACGTTTCGCCTGCCGCCGTTAACGTTAGATTCACGGAAACTGTCGAAACAGCGGTCGCTAATTTTTTCATTTCCGATTATTCGTACCGTAAAGGTACGTGTTTTTCGAGTTATTTATTCGATTTGTACAGCGCGCTACGCCTAACTGAGAAGAGAGCGAAATATCTCGAAATAGATCGAAGCTACGAAAACAATGTTTGTACGAAAAGTGTTCGGTATAAAGGGATGCTTTAGCTAGTATCGATAGCTTTTTTATTGACGTAATGGTGAATGATATTTCAAGGTCGCGTTGATTTTTTTTTTAATGGGACCATACATTTTTTTAGTTATATTACGATAGCTGGTTTCAGAGAACAGCGAAATATCTCGATATAGATCGAAGCTACGGAAACAATGTTTCTACGAAAAGTGTTCGGTATAAAGAGATGCTTTAGGTAGTATCGATAGTTTTTTTATTGGCGTAATGATGAATGATATTTCAAGATCGGGTTGATTTTTTTAAAACGAGACCATACGTTTTTTTAGTCATATTACGATAGCTGGTTTCGATACGAATACGATGTTGTATTATTTCCATTAGATAATCATAAATTAGAAGCAATTAAATTAGCAACAGCGGCAGGCGGACGGTATTGCAAGTCGTGTCGCGTCAGTCAGAATAAATGTTCTCTTGTAAACTAATAGAAAACAGCTGTTTCTTGTGCTCCGTAAATCTTGTGTCAACGCTGACAAATATGCGCGACTTGAACATCGAGCATTTTCGGACAGTTCGTTGATTATGCAGCTTCTGAATCGAGATGAGAAATTAATTAACATTCTTGAGAAATTCTTCCGAATCTCGTAGATAGTTTAAGCAAAGATCTTAGACGACTCGCTTCATATTTTATTTCTTTAATTTTATTTTTGCTATTCTAAAGCAGTTTTTGTCACTAAGAATTGGCAAAATGGAGCATCTGATTTCGAAAGCTTGCCGAAACTGGATGAATTCTCCTTTTAATCGAACCTAAGTTGAAGATCAAAAGTCTTCGCTTCTGTCATAAATCGTGATTATCTATCGAATACAAAGT